AGGACCCTCTGTTGCTTGTTATTAGGCTGCGATTAGGAGCTTTGACTAAACTAAGAAATTCTCAAATTCATTATTAAATCTCCTGCACTCACTGGCTGTCCCATCACGAGTGTCCAAATTCCCCACGGGCGAAAAATGGCACGACGCATGAGTTGGCACCGATTAGCCGCGCTCTGTGTACTGAACTGCTGCCCATAGGATAAATCACTTGGCACACAGGAAACTGAGCTCTCCAGTGCAGAACCTGTATTTGCACAGTGCCTGGTGTGCACTCCCAGAAACAAACGGTAAATTGTCTGTCATGAAAGGCTGTATTGTGACCCAAAAACCTGAAATTAGGACATCACAAGGGCCTGAAAGCTGAACAAACGAGGGGAACATTTTTAGTCACACTATTTCAGATGTTTTGACCTATTTACCACCTGGCTAAGGAACAGGCTGGAGAAAGGAAGTCGTTGAGATCTAGCGCTAGAAAGAGGGAGCTATTTAAAAAACGGGACACCCTTTCCCCTCCAAGGAAGGTGAGAGACTTTACAATCTAAATCGGAGAGCTCCAAATAATCCACCAGAAATATTCGGGAAGACCAGCTATAACATTGGTATTTGGGGAGGGGTTTTTTTTAAACCGAATTAAAAAGAAAAGCCATGCTTTCTACATACACCAAAAAGAAACGAGGGCGCTCATGCCACTTAAAATAACCCTGGGCAGATCCTAGTTCCCCTGTAGCCACGTTTCACGACTCAGGCGGGTCTTCTGCTTAACGCTCTCTTGTGATGTCTCTGTGGGTTTAGACGGCGGCGCGCTCGGGCTGCTTTCGGAGCGTCGGGCTCCTATTCTGAATGGCTGGGGCTGTATTCCCCCCCCCTCCGCAAACACAAAAAAAGGGAACAAGAGCTCCCCAAACAAGCCGAATGAACCAAACAGCCCTGGCCATGCTCCCGTGTGAAATCAGGCTCCTCTGTGGGACCGGGCTGCAGAGGGAGATGCACACACCCATTGTTCGCTTCTCTCTTCCTTGTCTGAGCGCTCGGGTGCCATGTGTAACCTGCAATGCCCGCCGAGCATGGCTGCGGTATTTTTTGTTTCCCCCCCACCCTCCTCCCTTTCAGCCAAAGCAACACATCCCTAGCGGGCTGCGGGCAAGGAGCATCATCTCCACTACTCCATCAGCATCTCCCGGCCCTCCCGCTCCTTTCGGGTGCAGCGGATTGAAAGGCGGTGGGCGAGCCGGTGTGTGTGTGTGTGTGTGTGTGTGTGTGTGTGTGTGTGTGTGTGTGTGTGTGTGTGTGTGTGTGTGTGTGTGTGTGTGTGTGTGTGTGTGTGTGTGTGTGTGTGCGGGGAAGACACAATCAGTGCAGCACATTGAAAGACGCGAAGGAGGAAACGCAGCGGGCTGGCAAGCTGCGGCTGCCTGGATTGGTGTTTTGTTTGGGGTCCCCCCCCTCCTCCTCCCCGCCGCCTCTTCAAGCGATAATTCTCTGGCGTGTGTTTAACCCTGAAGGGGGAGGGGAGCATTTGTAGGAAAGATTGGATGGGAGTCAGGTTAAACATATAGGGCGCTGTTAAATGTCCCATGGAAACACACATTGCAAAATAATCATCATAATTCAAGGGCACAAGAGCATCGATGCTGGAGCTGGGGGTGCTGGAGCTGTCTTGAAGTGGTTTCCATCACATCCAGGGTTTACAGTTTGGTTTAATGGCATTCAGCACCCCCCATTGTACAAATTGGTCCAGCCCTCCTGCACTAGAGGCTTACATATAACTCCGCAGCCTGAGGAAACCTCCCTGTAAATAAGTGAGGGGGCAGGTCAGATGGGGGACATGAGAGGAAGAAATCTTACCCTGCAAAGCCCAGTAGCAATAGTGTGACCAGGGCCTGTTTCTCCCCAGTCAAAGACAGGGTAGCAGATCTATGGGGTGTGCATGCTGCTGCTTTATTTCAGCAGGGATGATGTGTAAACATGTAGATAATTGCTAAGGGAGGGGGTGAGAGGAAGAGAACTTGTGTGCTCAGTTTGGTTTTTAACAAAAAGGGGGGGGGACATTAATTAAAAATGGCCTTTCTAGCTCCCAAGCATATTTGACTTTCCTGAGTGGTGCATCTCATGGCTTGAAAAGGCTAGGTGTGAAAATGAGCATTCACTTGGCATTTTGTGTTCCTTAAACAAGGCTGTTTAGCACAGACCAGCCAGAGAAGATCAAGTCATCCACGTCTTGACAAAAAAAGCTGTACTGTAAGAGTCCATAGTGGGCTACTCTCTTTAGAGACTTGTATTTTCAAAAAGCATACTAGGCTTTTAAATATAAAAACGCACATCTCTAGCACTTTCTGTCCAAGGATAATAAAGTGTTACAGCAGTGATCAACCCCAAGTGGTCAAAAGTAAGTCAAGTCCCCAAATATCAAGAGACTGGCTTTAAAAATCATGGGTTTTTTTAAATAATGAATGTTGGCTTCTTTTTATTTGCCTTCTAGTTTTGAGCCTTTTAGGGTTAATGTTTTCACGCTCTTCTCCGCAACCACATGGTCTAGGAACTATTTTTACATAAGAATCTATGCTTTCATTCAATCAATTGACTCCAGGAGCTGGGTCTTTAAGAACAACCGCAAATATTACCAGATTTTGTGATAAAATTGCAAGACTGAATCAACAGAATTAGTTACAGCTCACCATGTTTGCATAAAGTGGGGAAATATTTCCATTTTACAGAGGGCAGAGAAACAGCATACTACAGAAACTAGGTGATTTGCCCAAGGTCCCACAAATCAATGGCAGAGATGGGAACAGAGCCTGGGTCTCCCTCAGTCTAAGGACTAGATATCTATCCTTTCTAGATACCCTCCCGTCCCCTATTGTGAACAGTGAAACATTAGCAGTGAAATATTACTGTCAGGGAAGTCTGTGTGTCTTTGGATTAAACATATGTAACTTAATTTTTATGAGAAAAAAACAGGTTTTCAATATGTGTATGTGTGTGTGTTGCTGGTGGGGGAATAGCATGGAAAACCTACTATGCTGGGGCCCTCTTGAGCCCTCCTTACTGAGACCAAGCTCCCAAGGAATCAGTGGTAACAAGCCTGCATTTCTTATACACCCATTGTGGTCTCCCTTCCTAAAGCATGAATGCAAGAAGCTGATGGATCTTGTACTCATTGTGCACCCAAGACTCCAAATCACTGGGATCTTGGCCCGAGTAAAGAGGATTGACTAGGGCTAACCCAAGAGGGTTTTGCAACTCAATTCCCAATTTCTTGGGAAACTGTCCTGTTCTGTAAAGTGCCACGTACAGTGGGTATCCTTTAAAAAAATCCATTCGCTATGCTTCAATATTTGACTTTACCACTGTATTTGTGGTATTTCCTGCACTTAATGGGGAAACACTGTAAATATACAACAGCCATCTGTGATGTCTGTAACGGTGCCGACTACACTTTCTGTGCTTTTGTTTAGAGAAGGAACATGCATACAAATAAGAGCAACTAAAGTAAGCAAAGGCAGAGAGCAGTAAGCTCAATGCAACAGTTAGGTCCCAAACCTACTAACACTTATGTATGTAGTTAATGTGACTGCTCATGGATTTAAAGATGAACACATACTTAAGGGGTTGTGGGATTGTGGCATTAATTTGCATCTAGATGATGCATTAGAGATGCTTTGGCTACAAACGAGCCTAGTAAGTTAAGTGCTTTAATACATATATCAAGAAAATATAAATCTCATGGGATGTGGGTGGACTTTGGATAATCCAGAGAAATTGCACTGGAAAACAGATAAGGGGCACAACCCTGTTTTAAAATAGCATTAGACCACCTACCTTTTGAGGAAATAAAGGACCAGCTTTGCAAAGGTGTGGTCATCCTAAGAAAATGCTTGGGGTGGAAGTTGGGAAGAAAAGGGGGGGACTAGGAATGGAAATATAGAACCCCTGCAGTCATGATGGAGATTGCATCTGCAGCTGCAGAGGAAAAAGTTAAAGGGGGATTTCAAGCCACCCCCAGTGGCTGTATCTATGCAGCTATATGAAAAATGCATGTTGAAGTTTGAGCAACACAACCCACAATGTTCTGTTAGTGGAACCATAGCATCCATGTGTGTGTCAGATGATAACCAATTGAACGATTATTGCGGAAATACCGACCCAAGACTGTTAGCTTGATGTGGGACTTTGTGATGCTAACAACACGAAATAAGAGATGGCCCTCAAAATAAGACACAGGTGGCCTCAGTAGATAAGAGGGAGCACTGGATGGTGAAGAGAAGCTGAACTAAAAGTGTAGCACTTTTTAAAAATTATTATTATGTCCAAGTTTTGAATGGAAACAGACATGATACTGCATCAACAGGCCAGTCTGGATGTTGTTGGGGGGAAAACACCCATAACTTGTTGGTGTCATCCCTCCTTTGACATATTTATGATTATATGCAGGTTTCACATGGAAACAGGTACGCCTTGCACAATTTCCGTGAGCTGCCCTGGATGCCATCATTTGGGATAAAACTGTCTGCCGCTTTGCCCAGGGTTGTATATGCCCCCCCCCTCCTCCTTTCTCTCCCTGCTGCTTCTCTATTTTTAAAGGGGTTTTACTTAAGAGTTAAAACATTTGTTTAAAGATGCTGACATCATGCCTGGGAAGCGCGTGCTGCAGAATCTCCACCTGCTGGTGCAGGTGCTGCAGGGAGGAGCAGGTCGCCCCCCCCCCCAAAAAAAAACTTTTACATTTTCCTAATTAATTATGGATTTGTTTATTGTTTCCCTCCGATCTATTTATGATAGCGGGAGGAAGGGGTCAGGGCTGGGTTTTTTGAGGGGGGGAGAGGAGGGGATGCTCCTTCCCCCTCCCCATATGCCCTGGGGGTGGGGGGGCAGGAGGTGACCAGCCCTGGACACTCTCCTCTCTCTCCTCCATCTTCTCTCCCGAGCTCAGCTTCCCCAGCTTGGGACGGTCCCATTGGTAGGGCCGCGGGGGGGACGGGCCAGGCTCCGGGCGCCATTGGGCTCCGGCAAGCGGCTGGAAGCGGCTTCCCCCCCCGCGACGCCCGCGTGCCAAGCCGGGTGGATTCACCCCCGCGAGCTGCGGGGCGCCCGCGCTCCTCTGCAGGGCTGGGGCGGGCGGCGCTCCCCGCTCCCGCCCCCCCCCGCTCCCGCAGTGGTGCGGCCCGGAGGTTAGCGGAAGCGGCCGCTCGGCGCTGCCATGTTGAGCCGCCGCCGCCGCCGCTTTGTTGTCGGCTCCATGTAGCTGGGGCCCGGGGGAGGGAGGGGGGATCGAGCCGGAGTCGCCGCCGCCGACCAGGCCGCCGAGGCCCGGGAAGTCCCCGCCATGGAGGCCAACTGGACCGCGTTCCTCTTCCAGGTGAGGCTGCGGAGAGGCCGGACCCCCCCTTCCCTCACCGGCCGGGGCCACTCCGTCCCCGGGCAGCGGCCGCAGCGCAGCGCGCGGTTTCCAGCTAGGCCAGTGGGCTGTCAGTCAGCGCGGCCGCCCGGCCTCCCTCTCCCCCCCCAGCCCCTCCGGCCGGCGGGGGAGGGGGGAGCCGCGGGGGGAGAGGGGATCCCGCGCTATAGCGCTGTGCTGGGCCGGCTATAGCGCGCCTGGCTAAGCAGCCTGCCCCCGCTCCTTGCAGCGGCAGGGCATTCATGGGGACGGAGCGGGGGGGGCGTCTCGGTTTTTTTTTCCCCCCAAAATTGTTGCCCTCCCAATTTTTTTTTTTTTTGTAAAAATGTTTTGCCGATATTTTTATCCTTTGTTGCAAATCATCATCATCATTGTGGGGTTCCCCCCCCCCAAAAAAGCCCACCTCGGTGGAGCACACACTGTGCATGGGAGAGAATAAATTAATCCCTCTTGAAACAGCCGGCCTCGGTGACTGACCAGGGATGTTGTCTTAATTTAAAATAGGGTTTAATTTAAAATAGGGAGCGGGAGATGGATTTTCCTAAGAACTGAGTACTGAAGAGAATAGTAAGGAAAAACACAGAAGGGGAGAGTAATCCCTCCACTTGCAAACTGAGTCACTGGTTTTGTCTGTCTTCAAGACAGCCCTAATGCTCAAAAATACAATACAAAGTTTGTATAATACCGAAAAGGAAACTGTAAAATACCCCAAAACTCTCTTGCTCTCGTGTTTGTGAACTATAACCTGGATCCTTCACTCACTGGCTTCTTTTCTAAAACCTTCTGCCACTTTGTACCTTGAAAATGTGAAATATGTAATTGCAGTCCCCCCTCCCCCCCGAGGGAAAAAAAAAGCCACACACATCACCTTGTGCAAAGAGGATTATTTTACCTTGAAAATTACAAACCTGGACCTCTTGCTTACTCCTTGTCCTGGCTGGCTTTTTTTTTAAACAACAAAAACATGACATTTGCTTGAAAACCTGAATGGAATGAATAAATCTGTAAAGAGAATGCAACGTTTCTTTTTAAAGGAAAAATAATAGCCTTGCAAGGACTAAGAGATGAGTCACTCACTTGGGTGCTCTGCCTCTGAAAACACGCTTAGAATGTTCTCTTAAGAAGAAAACAAATCTAACAGTCAGAGCTATTGCAAATTCAAACTGTATATACGAACTCTTATTTCGTATTAAATCTTTTTGTATTCATTTGTACAACAGATCTGATACTATAAGATATAGTTCCATATAAGTGCCAGTGATGACACATGCAGTTTGGATAAGGATTTATAATTTTTCTCACTCTAGTGGGCAGTTGTGATTTGAACATAGATAAACTTCTTAGTAAAGTTCTCTCATTCTAGGGCCACCTCCCTTTCTTGAGTTAGTAGTTATTCTGTCTCTCCTCAATATACTGCACTCTATCTTTAAATATATTTTCAAGAACAACTAATCTTAGTGTGGAGTCTTATAGTTTATTTTATGGCTCTGTCTTTTCACAGATATTAAGCATCATTAATTTAGTTGCTTCGTTGTGTTTTTTGTTGTTGTAAGTGCAATGTACTTTTGAAATACTGACATCAAACTTTTTAGTTTGTTTTTGTGGTAGGTATTTCTTCATTTGATTAAGGATTCAGCAGTTTACCTTCTCAAAAAATATAATTAATGGTGCATAACTAGTGAGCATCTTTGTAAAGATGTGACATGGAAATTCCTTCCTCTTCCGTCCTTCCAGATAATAAAGCTTTAAAACCTTGTAATGACTGTTTAGTAGGTCTTGAGTCATTTTTTATAAAACAAATGCTTTACAATACTGTTTATCCTAATGTACCTAAACATAGTGGTGATTGGGGAAGTTATAAGTAGTATCTTCTTGTTACTACCCCATCCCACCAAAACAAGAACAGATCATTAATAGGCTCATAATTTAAAATCCTTTTAACAAATCTGCACCTTTATTTTTGTTTGGTAACTGTTAAATATCAAATACTGTGCTGATAATATAGAGAGGCAATGTTTACTTCACATGGTTTTCAATTGTGACATCTGTAGAGGAATTTTTTAAATAATTAAAGGGAATATTTAAAACCCTGTGTGGATAACTGTAATTCTTAGCCAGTTGGTGTTGGGGAAATGATTAAATGTCTTAATTTTAGTTTTAATGGCAATTAAATGTGTACAGTGAATTTTTATTCCCCTTTCATAATAAAGATATTGATCATGTTTAGGTGTTACCTTGATTAATTTTACCTTTTGAAATGTAGATTATACTGAATAAGCAACTTCAGTTCATTTTTTTTTTTATTAGTGTTCTAGCACATGCATATTTTGAAAACCACTTTGTACCCGCCTGGAAAGTGAAAGTTGTATCTGTTAATGTTAGGAGAAATCATCCCTCAAACAGGGCATTCAAGATATGACTCACTGATGCTAATTTGCTGTTCTGACATGAAGGCTCCAGTGCAAAAATCTCTTAGCCTCTGGCACTGGAAGTTCACAATGCCACATCTTATCACCTTGGGTCATGAAATACAGTTTTTATTTTGTTTGCTATCCTCCTGGAATGAAAGTTTGCTTAGTGAGAGAAATGCTATATTTTGCATGGAAGACTTTTTTTCCAGGCAGTCAAAACATCACAAATGTTGACTTGACATTAATGCTAAGTCAAGTAAAACAGTGAATAAATATGACTTGCAAAAGGCAAGCAGCAGGTGCTGTTTCATTGTGTGCATTCCCTCTTATAACAGCAAGGGGAAAAAATACAGCCTGATCCCTCTTTAGAAAGCTTAATATAGAGAATCCTTGGAAACTGAGGAATGCTGCTTGTTGCAGACAGGTTTTGTTAAAAAGGCAATATTGGTAATAACGGTGGAGTATCTGAAAGCCAAGGTAAGCAGCTTTATATAAGAGATGGTTTCATAGCAGACAGCCTTATGAATACATTGTTTCATGTCAGACATTTATACTGGTACAACAGAAATAATTGTATTACCTTGCAGTGCTAATGGTTCTTTAAGGCTTAAAAATGTCCTTAGACTGCATAAGTTTGAACCTTGTCCAAAGGATTTGGACTCCCTATTATCCGATCTGCTAGCTCTCCCTTTGAAATTGTATATCTTGAGCTATCTTAGGATATTAACCACTTGTACTCTGTGTGAAAACACATTTACTATGGCCTGGCTGGAAAAGGCTCTGAACAGAAAGCTCCAATTAAGTGTCTGATTCTGTTGACCAAGATTTTTAAATCTTGTGCAAAGGCAACTGGAAAAAATAAAATAAAATTGTACTGTTATCAGTACATGAAATGTTCTTGAACTTGTGTTTTATATTGTACCCATTTCGGCATCTGTATGTATTACACATCAGAAAGCATCAGTTTATAAAACAGGAGAAAGTAAAATAATACAAAATATCACTTAGGTCATGCAAAAGCTTGATGGGAAAAATGAGCCTCATGCTGTGCTCTAAGTCAGTGGCTGTCAACCTTTCCAGACTACTGTACCCCTTTCAGGAGTCTGATTTGTTTTGCCAACCCCCAAGTTTCACCTCAGTTAAAAACTACTTGCTTACAAAATCAGACATAAAAATACAGAAGTGTCACAACACACTATTACTGAAAAATTGCTGACTTTCTAATTTTTACCAGATAATTATAAAATAAATAAATTGGACTATAAATATTGTACTTGCAGTTCAGTGTATAGCTTATGGAGCAGAATAAACAAGACATTGTCCTTATGAAATTTTAGCCTGAACTGACTTCACTAGTGCTTTTTATGTAGCCTGTTATAAAACTGGGCAAATATCTAGATGAGTTGAGATACCCCTGGAAGACCTCTGTGTGCCCCTGGTTGAGAACCAGTGCTCTGTTAGTAAACTCAGGCTCTGAGGGAGTTCCACACTTGCACCATTTTCCAAGAATGCCCTTTCTCCCATCTTCAAGAATGCGTGTTTAGGGTTTAACTGAGGCACCTTGGTATGTCCACACTTAGCCTGGTAACACTCAACATATTTGTTGCATCCAAAGTTTCTGAATAGACCTAAAAAGTACAGGGAGGTGGACCAGTCACCCTAACTGCTTGTAGTAATCAAAGCAAGTAATGCCATGGACTTTCACACAGAACAGCTTGAGCTAAGCTGTGAACTAGTCTCCCACCAAATAGTATAGGAGTGTTGCAGAGCGGGCATTCTCATCCACATGGGCTAAGACTTGTGTGCACTTTCAACCCATTTTCAAAGAACACCATTATGGTCTGAAGTTTCAGGGTTTGTGAATATGGGAAGACAAAGTGAGTACATGAGCATCCTGAATGAATGTAGTGTTGCATGGAAGTCTTAAAACTCCTACTTAGATGTACTTAATATTGTAGTCATTGCTTCTGGTTATTGATGTGCTGTAGAGGCAAAAGAAGGAAGGCTTGGATGCCATCAAAATAGAAAGTCACAGATTGCTTCTGTAAATAGTAAAGTCTTCAAAGGGCTTTAAGCAATTGGCTATTGGGTAAAGCTGAAAGGATATGAATTTGAATGTGCTTAATAATGGTACAATCCTGATTCAAAATGAAAGCTGACAGTCCTGTAGGCTCCAAATCATTACCTAGTTTTAGTCAACCTGCAAAGTCCCAAATGTGGCAAGACCACGTAAAATGAGGTACATATCACTTAATAAAGGAAAGCACAGAGGAGTAGTTTTGGAAAGATGTGGCATTAATAAAAATACAAGTTTAAATAAAATCAGTTTCATGCCACAGGCCTGTTTTGTTGCACTGCTGTAACTAAATCGATTTTATAACTGATCTAGTTATACTGGTGCAAAGCCCTACTATAGATACCCTTAAACTGATTTAAATCATGCTTATAATTATTTGGCTTAATGTTACTTTAAGCTAAATAATGTTAAGCATGGTTTAAACCAGTTTGAGTGTCTTTAGTAGGGCTTTGCACCAGTTTAACTAGATCCGTTTTTAAATTTAATTACAGAAGTACAAGTTGTCCAATATAAACACCCTGCACCATGTCTGCTACCAGCCTCAGGTAGGAGAGGGTACTGGTAAGTAGAGGGATGTTCATTGTGGTATGATAGCAGAGATTTTTCTAGTGCTGCCCTCAGAGATGCAGCAGTCCAGGTTTGTCAGCATTTATCAGTTACATTTTTTTGTTTTGTTTTAAGAATAACTTCTGTTGCAAGTCGATGCTCCAGAAATCACCAGATTCCTACCAGTGCTTATTGACTAGCCCCTCTCTCTTTTGTGAAAGACTTGGTGATAAAGAGAAAATAAACTTGTCTTTATTCTCATCAGTTTCCATAAACAAAGAGCACCATAGAGCATCTTAGTCATTGTGTTAATGCCATGGGAAACCATTATTTATATAACTATAAATCTAGCATGTAACAGTTCTTGAAACAAATTTTTAAATGCAGTTCCAGCACTGACAAAGTAGTGCAAAGAGAGGGATTCAAGTAAGATGCCTCATTTCTTCCTGGTTCACTGTGGCTGCAGTTTAATTTTTACAGGGTTTTTAAATGTAACCATCCACCAGGCTGATGTTAACACTTGTCTGGCACATTTGTCAACCCCTTCAGTACATCCTTAGTCTGCCATCACAGATCTGGTATATTCTCCATATGATTACTTTTATGTAGGGAGTGTCATTGAGATAGAAATCAAGCAATATGTTAAAAGGCCTGACGAATACCTGGTAATTTGCTATAAGAAATGTTGCCCTCAGGATATTTAAAAATTGTTTCATGTGATTTGCACTTTCCTACACCTATGTACTGCAGAGTCTGTGCATAACACATGGATTTAAATGTAAGTGGTTTATCCAATCAGGAAACCATTGTAGTGAGACTTGTATAATTTCTTGCACTTGTTAGTTCAGTGACTTTTTGGTCTAAAATTTGCTTTCCTTTGCCTGTAAATGTTCTCAGCATGTCAAAGCGAGCACCCTCCAACAGAAATTCTGAAGTGTGAATGTTTGATTTTAGGCACATGAAGCCTCACATCACCAACAGCAGGCAGCACAGAACAGTTTGCTGCCCCTCCTGAGCTCCGCTGTTGAGCCACCTGATCAGAAGCCGATTCTACCCTTACCAATAACCCAGAAACCTCAGCCTGCACCAGAAACATTAAAAGATGCTATTGTTGGGATTAAAAAGGAAAAACCTAAAACCTCCTTTGTATGCACCTACTGCAGCAAAGCTTTCAGGGACAGCTACCATTTGAGGCGCCATGAGTCCTGCCACACAGGGATAAAGTTAGTGTCACGGCCAAAGAAAACTCCCACCACAATGGTGCCCCTAATCTCAACTATTGCTGGCGACAACAGCCGAACTTCATTGGTTTCAACTATCGCAGGCATCCTGTCAACGGTCACTACATCTTCCTCTGCCACCAACCCCAGCAGTAGTGCTGGTGCAACAGCCATGGCTGTGACTCAGACGGTGAAGAAGCCCAGCAAGCCTGTTAAGAAGAACCATGCTTGTGAGATGTGCGGAAAAGCCTTCCGGGATGTGTACCACCTCAACCGGCATAAGCTATCCCACTCAGATGAAAAACCTTTTGAATGTCCAATTTGTAATCAGCGCTTCAAGAGGAAGGACCGCATGACCTATCATGTGAGGTCTCATGAAGGTGGCATCACCAAACCATACACCTGTGGTGTTTGTGGAAAAGGCTTCTCGAGGTACCATGTAGAAAATCCCAGGCGAGCTCAAGTATTGGCTTTTCGTAATCAAGAAGGGTTAAACTATCATAGCAAGGGGCTAGGAGAACCAGACATCTTAGAAGATTGGTGAGGGGATAAAGAGCCTTGTTTACTTAGGGTGTGGGTCTCAATCTAAGACTATTTGATCATGACTAAAAGTTGTCACTGTTTTATGGTTATTCAATGTTCTGAAATGACCTGATGGCCTCAATCCAGGTCACAGTGGAAAGGTGTCCGCATCACCATTGGTGCTAGCTGGACCCCTTGTTAGCAGTCTTTGTAGGGGTCAAAGATTGAATGGGGCATGGAGACTGATCTGTCATCTTGCCTTTAACATAACCCCTTCCAGATCAAGATTGAGGTTCATTGGCAGAGCAGTGTGGGGGAGCTTGCATTGCTGCTGGCTGTGCTGTATCTGTTCTGTGACTAGAGCGAACGTCAGTCTCTAGGACTGTTAATGCAACTCCTTTTTACAAGTACTAAAAATTCACTAACTGTAGCACTTCCAGGTGTATAATAGACACATGGCTGAGTTTTAAACTTTGCTGGCTGGGTCCTAGTGTAATCATTTTTGCATTATTCTAGCAGCGGGTTGTTTTATAGGTAAGGGGAGATTTTTTTGTCCTTGAAAGGGAGGTGGGCTGCAAATGGCAATCAATGCAATGTTCAGTGCTGCTCGCCGAAGAATCCTTGCCGTCTATTTGTAATGGTACATGTTCTGTTCTGTACCTCTGTTCTTTCACAGGCCTGATCACTTAAGCTGTCATGTCAAACACGTTCACTCGACAGAGAGACCCTTCAAATGCCAAGTAAGGGTTAACATGATTTATTAACAGCATAAGTTTTATTGTACAGTTAGTCAATGTCAACTGAGTATTTCACCAAGGACTGTGTTGATTTACCTAGTTCCCTTGAATGCAAGGTTTGGAATATGGCTCTGTCCACGCTGCTTGTAGTTAGTTGGTGTTGTAGTTAGGATACCAGTGTGGAAGCAGCTTAAGATGATGGTGTGCCTACCATTTGTAAGATTAGAGGCTTATTTGCTCCTTGAAGAATATTCCCAAAACCCTATTGTTTGTCAAGTTTGCCTTTAAAAACAGTGTGACTAAATCCTCAAATTGACATTGATTGCTGAAGTAATGTGTAGGATTTGTTTAGCAATGCTTATAGGCAAAGGTGGTTATGAAAATAGAGTATTTTGCTTGAAATTGAAAGGAAATTGTCATGGTGAAAGTAAGTTGAAGATTAAAAACAAGAGGCAGAACTTGACTAGTGTTGAACAATCAACTCTTCTATGGTTTCGCTTGGAATCATCCATGCACGTTCCAACCTGTCTCTAGTGACTCATCATATTATAAGTAAATGCTTTGAATTAAAAGAATAGCTCTAAAGAAATGCTTTGTTTTCCCTTTCCTGATTTTTGGATTGGAACTAAACTGAGTAATAAAAAATAATCAGAACCAGAAATATACAGTGAAGCCTGTATAAGAGACCACCCTTGTCTACTGTAGGTATTTATAAACCATCTATCACTTAGGTATGCAAGACAATCTTTTATTTTAAGAAATTGCTCCGAAGTAGGCCCAGTAGTATAGAGTATTCTTCTGTTCCACACTTATCAGAAGACCATTTCCATTAAGCAATTAGATTATGTTCTGTCTCTTAAGTGGTAGTTGAGATAGGCTTCACTGTAAATCCAGGTAAAATCAAAAGGTTTGTCAACATGCCTAAGGTACGGTAGCACCTAGAAAATAAAATATACTTTTAAATGGGCCATGTGGTCCCCAGTGGAATAAGATGGTCTACACTTAAAAAATGCTGTTGTCCTTCATCTAGACATGCACTGCTGCCTTTGCCACCAAAGACAGACTGCGGACACACATGGTGCGCCATGAAGGAAAGGTATCGTGTAATATCTGTGGTAAACTTCTGAGTGCAGCGTATATCACCAGCCACTTAAAGACACATGGGCAGAGCCAAAGTATCAACTGTAATACCTGTAAACAAGGCATCAGTAAAAGTAGGTGAACGTTTTAAAAACACTTCAGTAAATGTATTCTAAACATTTTGCAACATAAGTTGCCTTTGACTTTCTTAAAATGTAAAATACACCTGTGACTCAGTTTAGGTGTTTGCATCTATCAGAAAATAGATCTTTGAAAATGGATTCTTCATGAAAAACTTCAGATCAGGGGTATGTGGAACTGGTCTGGAACTAGGAGTATTGGCTTATCTCTTAGAGGAATGCCCTGAAGTGAGAGAAAATAGTTCTTCACTTTTAAGTATGAAGATCCTAATATCTTTGTCTTTCAACTTATGAGTACAATTGGATATATCCTGAATTACTTCCTTAACCGCAAAAAAATAAATAAATCAAAAGGGTGGGTGGGAGGGAGTGTCCAGGAGTTTAAATCAGTAACAGAATGTGTGTAGATTTAAAAATGACACATTTGCCTTTTATAGCAAAATATTTGAAAACTTGGCAAGTCTTCTGTTCAGGATTTCGAGCTTGATCAAATCTCAGTGAAGCCAAAGTCTCCCACTGATTTCCATGAGCTTTGGATCAAGGCTGTCAGTGTTTTTTCCTTGAAGCATTGGACAAAACAAGCACTTCAAGCAAAGCATTTTCCTGCATTGCCTGATGCGTTTTGGGCATTGGTGATATTTGGCCTGTGATGTACAGGAGATCAGACTAGACGATTGTAATTCTGGCCTTAAAATCTGTGAATATCCTCAGCAGAAATGTTGAATCCTGAACTTTGGAGTGGCAAGTAAGTGAAGGAGAGACTGGCTTGCTCTCTCAAAAGTATATGAAATTTAAATCTACACATCATGTTGGTGATTTAGGCTGGGATTTTCAAAGGAGTCTAAAGGAGTTGGGTGCCTAACCCTTCTAGGTTCTTTTGAAAATTCCATCCTTAAAACATTCAAACAGTGTTTTGCCTTTTAGTTCATATTTAATGTGTTCTTTTATTCCCAGAAGTTTGAGGACAGTTGGAATATCTAGTAAGCGTGAAAGATATTTACTGAATTGGATGTGGAAAATAAAATTAAAATGTGAATTATTTTTGGAGTAGGGGTTGTTGGAGTCTGTCCTCGTTCCCACAGTACCAACTACTCTGCCTTTCATTGTCAGTTCAGTGACCCTAAACAGCTCGCGGGAGGTATTATGGGACTCACAAAAGGCAGAGATGAAAGTGGCAGGAGCAGCAATGTGGCCAGGGAGTAAATAGCTATTTTCTGATGTGAAGGTGAACTAAAAATGTTTTTAATTTTGATTTCAAGAAGGGGTGAGAGGTCTTTTTTTTTTTAAGTAATTAGTGCTGTGTTTTCACATAACTTGACTCGGCTGCCTCCTTGAGATCTCTGGGAATTTGATCTGTATGAGTACCATAGAAGCCATTTCATTTTAAAGTCCTGTATTTCATTCTCTTTGTTTATCATCCTTGAGATGTCACTCACTCTGAAAGAGAAATCAGGCAGTTGATAGCTTGCACTTCTCTAGATCTTAGAGAGGTAATTTTACTGAAATACAGCACTAATTAAATGTTTTTAAACACTATCTTTCTCTTTTCAAGATTCTGAACATGTTTTTAACTTAAACAAAAGCCTTCATCCTTTCAGTAGAAAGGAGCATACATTTCCAAGGTGAATTTGTGTGTGTTTTTACTTGACTGGCGTAGCATGCATGAGTGAGGAGACCAGCAACCAGAAGCAGCAGCAACAGCAGCAGCAGCAACAACAACAACAACATGTAACAAACTGGCCTGGAAAGCAGGTAGAGACACTGAGATTATGGGAAGAAGCGGTCAAAGCAAGGAAGAAAGGTAAAACAAAATAACATAATCTATTATATTGATTTACTTGTTTTTTTTAAACTCTAATCTGTTTTACAAAAAAATGTTATAGAGAATGTGAAATGGCAAAAATTGACACATGAAAATTAATTCTTGGTCATAAAAATAAAAGCTAAAAAAAAATCGGTGATAACCTTATGTAACATTCACTTAAATGATCTTCTTTACTACTTATCTTCAATCAGATTCTGCCCTTGAATGTGCACATAAGCCTCCTTTTGCAGTTAATGGGAGCTGTGCCTGTACTCAAAGGCAGAGTTTGGCCTTTGATTTCTGTGTGATTTCTGGACCTTGTTTAAAACATCAACCAGTTGTTAGATCTCACACATACATGTTTTTTGTGTAGACATCAGTTTCCGTTTAAACACTTTTCATATCCCCTCTTCATATCCCTGTTCTTCTTTCCCATTTTATTTCATTCACTTGTACCCATCGCATAACTGTATTTGTCCAAAGTCTGGTGAAATTCATACTCCCTTTTTTTCCATTGCTTGGTGTCCTTCTAATTACAAAATTCACTAGATTATAGTCACTATTGCCAAGAACTGCTCACCTCTACCTATCCTATTGTATTGAAAGTTGAATAGTGCCCTTTTGTTGTTCACTGTGCCTGCTGTGTAAGGAATAGATTGCTTCAGTTTAGTGTCTCATTTGGAGTGTAGTTTGAAATCTCCAGTTACCTCTAGTTTATTCTTTTCACAACCCTTTGGTTTCTAATTTCTGTCATGTGGCTCCCTCTGATTAAATGTTTTATGATGAATTCCTGCTGTCTATTTATTCCTTTTAATTAACTCTTAATTTTGAACAATAAATATTCTCCACCCATCTTTCCCCTCAAGCTCCTCACAATTCCTCCATATTCTATCAGTTATTCCAGTCCTCTTTTTCTGGACAAGGCAGCTAGCTCCCTTTCTGATTGTTGCTGCCACAAAGATTTTTCTAATTCAATGATAGGTTGTTTAGAAACAGCCTAACCTTTTTTCTTATAAACAGTGATAACTGAAAACTATTAGAATTTACCTGGTTAGTGCTCCAATGCTATGGGGATGAAAGACTTAGGAAAACCAGAGTGAGGCTTGTTCTACTCCTTCTCTTCTATATCTTGTTTCTACTTCCTTCTTTCTTACCATATGTATCTGTCAAAGTGCTTTTTACAAAAACAATTATATTAAAAAGAGGGTGAGGGGCACTGAGGTGGGGGTGGGAAAAGTATTGTGCCAAGTTTTTCAATAAGAGTCAAACTGATACTGTTTAGTGAAACCTGTGGCCCTTGAAGAGCACCCCTGATATCTGGGGAGAGGATGGGAGGGTGTCATGGCTAAAGAAATCACTCTGTTTGGAAGACGAAACTAGACCAGTCAGTTCCATTCTTGTTCATGGTCCTTTTCATGCTGGTTCTCATTAATTAGCACCACATGTTGTGTTGGTTTTGCAATACCACAGGGGAATTTTTAAATTGAACAGTTTATTTAATTTCAGGTATTTGTTGTTATAATTGTTTTAAATCCCCCCACACACACTTTTCCCCCCCTCTGAACCTGATTATTGACCCTGAACAATCAACAGTGACCCTCAAATGGGGCTAATGTAAAAGAAAACACTCCCTTAATACATTTGAATAGCCTGCATGGCAAGGGTGGACTCTTGGCTCTTAGTTTACTTCTTGAAATATGGATATAGACTGAGCTTAGTGTCCTACTCTACAAATGTGAAGCAAGGCACATTTTAAAAAATGCCATAACATTGATATGGAATATATTTTTTCGGTTTCTTTAGCAGTCATCCCTTTCTTTTATCCGCGTCCACCAACCCGCTTCTGTTTTTGGAGCGTTGTTCTATGGCTAACCAGCAGGTGGTGCTGATATCTAATGGAGTCATCTGCCTCTTCCATGGAGCCTGGCTGTATCTTCTCCACAAAGTGTCCAGCCCTTGCTAGACCCAACTGGGAACAGACCCAGGATCCTCCATCTCAGGGCAGGGTCCTCTTGGTTCTTGCCTGTTCAGCCATAGTCTCTGTTGCGAAACAAAGTAAAATATTGGTGTGGAATTGTAGTTAATGTAAAAGCTGAGGAGATAATGGGGGTTATAAGATCTACTGACTGGGTATACTTGAAAATTGCTAAGATAAACTTACCACGATCAGTGGAACAATTTAGCGGAAATAATTAAGACTGAAATAAGCAGGTAAACATTGAAATTAGCTTTGCTTATCAGTCCCTAATAATGACTTTTTAAAACCTTCACAGAATGTCAATTCACCTTTGAGAAGGCTATAGAGTACGTACCATTCGGTATGTACACTCTCTTCTCTACTTATAATGTTCCTCTTGAGAGGATTTTTCTGATTTGTACAATACTGTTTTTGTGAACATCAAAACCCTCTTTATAAGACAACCTCACTTGACTTCTCAGGAAAGAATTTTGAATTCAAATGAGCTGCATGAAAGTTATATTTATTGTAGGCTGTAGAATGTTAACAGTTTAATTTTCTTTAGAAAATATTAGTAAGTTATTCCAGAATTTGTTCTTGTTTTTTTTTTTAAATCTTGTCCATGTTTTTTTATGTGTTAAAACTTTTTGTCTTTTTATGTCTCATTTTTAGAAGCTGCTAACTTGTGCCAAACCTCCACTGCTGCTACTACGCCTGTGACTCTTACTACTCCATTCAATATAACGTCCTCTGTGGCTTCTGGGACTATCACAAACCCAGTCACAGTGGCAGCTGCAATGAGCATGAGAAGTCCAGTAAATGTATCAAGTGCAGTTAATATATCCAGTCCGATGAACCTAGGGCATCCTGTAACTATAACAAGTCCATTATCCATGACCTCTCCATTAACGCTCACAACACCAGTCAATTTACCTACCCCAGTAACTGCTCCAGTGAATATAGCGCATCCAGTCACTATAACATCTCCTATGAATCTCCAAACACCAATGACGTTAGCAGGTCCATTAAATATAGCAATGAGACCGGTAGAGAGCATGCCTTTCCTGCCTCAAGCCTTGCCCACGTCTCCTCCTTGGTAAAGAATCTGTAAACAGTATTAAAGGGGATTAAAACTGAATCCTTACCAGCAGGTTTTTTAGTTGTTGTTAATAATAATAATAATAATAATAATAATAATGTTAATAATGTAATAATAAAGTCAAACTAAATAACTGGCTTAATGTGCACCAGTTAAAGACCCTAATAGCATCTTTCCCTGTTGATTTGGCTCATCGTGTTCAAACTAGAGTTTGTAATTTATCACTTTGTTTAAAGCAAGTTTTACCGTTAGCTGACTATGATGATGTTGAAATAGGACAGGTGGTTACTTGCCACAGTTTAAAAACCAGTCATTAAAAATCAGCATTACTGTTTTATCCCAGAAATTATAAACTAGCAAATGATTTTAATCCAAACACTAGCAAAGACCCCTCCATATGCTTGACAGGGTGGATGGCTAATTTTAACTTGCCAGTTCTAAATCCACTGATTCAGAGCTAGTGTAGTATCTTTGTCTGTGTTAATGTTTTTTTATGAGTAAATGCATTACAATGTTGTCATTTTTTAATGCATTTTGGAGAAAATATGCATTTTACCTTTGGGAATATGGTAATTTCAGGCAGCATTCCCTATGGGAAAGGTGATACCAGCTCTGATATGCAAAGCATATGATAACTTATCATTCTAACTTCAACATATAATAGGGATTGTGACCTGATATTTGGAGATGTAAATATTACCCAAAATATTACCCTAAGGAAATGTAGCATTGTAGTCAACTTTTTTTTTTTTTAAACTGTTAATGTTTGGTAAGAAACAGCCATGGCTGACAGAAGAGGAGTTGAAATGTGTGTGAACATGGTCTCTAAACAGTCAAAACCCTTGGGACTCTTATCTAGGAGCAAAAGGATGCTTTGAATCTTATAAAATATTGCTTTAAGCTGGAAGACTCTGGAAGCGCTGGGGTGTGATGTATATGCCCTCTCTCTCCCAATCAGAACCTGTTGATGTTGCAGCAGGGGACAGACGTGTTAGTTGTTCACTAGAAGTTTTTGTCTTATATTAAATTGTATACAGTTTTTATTCTAACCACTAACTAGGTAGGATGACCCTTCAGGACAAGCCAAGAGCGTCTTTAATTTCTCCCGTATTTCTTAATCAAGTGTTGTGCAGATCTGTTCAACTTTGTAAATATTTTCAAACATCATCATTTTTACTTTATTCTTCTATTGTGTTAACACATTTCTATCAATTTGTGGTGTTTGTGGCATGACAGTCTGAGCTGTCCAGCCCAGAAGTACTCCACAAATGGTTACACATGTTGAAACTACATGTGCTTTTTATTTCTTAGACTGTTTATCTGTACATAAAGTAGAAAGCAAAATATAGGGAAACAGATATACTTTTTAGACTATCATGTCACATATTCACGTTTTTAAAACTTTGTTTAAAAAAGACACCCTAAAACCAAGACTCTACGTTTAAAAAAAAAAAAGAAAAGAAAAGAAAAATAGTAAGAACGTTGTAGAC